AGTGCTGACAGTGGGATGAACCTGGTCAGAGTGAGGTGAGCCTTAGGGAAATCTCTGGGGTTAATTGTGAAGACAGTGCCTCAAGACAGCAGTCCTCAGTCACACTCAGAACATCACCTCCCCCATGACCCCGAGGACGCGTGCGCCTGTTAGTGTGGGTACAAGAAACAAGGGTTGCTCAAAAGCATGGCCCGGAGACCCATAGCAGACCACACCCTCTTGAGCCCAGCCTCTGAGTGAGCCTTCAGGGTGATGGGGCTCAGTAGAGAAGATGGCTGTGGCCAGTTTTTACTTCCCACTGGAAGCTATTCTGCCACGAATAGTGTGGGCTCTGTGAGTGTGCACAGAAGAATCAAAAGACAGAACAGAGAGCCTGACTCAGTTGGCTTTGGTCATTGCTGGCTGTGTCTTCATTTGCACCCAGCCTTCTTTCTTCTTTGTCTTCCTCCCCACTCCTCTTTCTCATTTCCCTCCTCCCTTGCCTTCCCCTCACATCCTCCCACCTCAGCTTCCCAAAGGTTGAGACTACAGGTGTGTGCCATGGCACCCAGCTTGAAAAGATCTATTAAAATATTATATATATATTAAATATTTATCTTTAAATTATGTATGTGTATACATGCAACGTGTGTGCAGTACTCACAGAGGCCAGAAGAGGGTGTTGGGTCCCCTGGAACTGGAGTCACAGGCAGTTGTGAGCCACCCTGTGAGTGCTGGGAATGGAACCTGGGTCCTCTGCAAGAGCAGCAAGTACTCCCAACCCCTGAGTTGTCTCTCCAATCCTCTAAAAAGACCCATTCTTCAAGGCATCAGGGAGTCATGTTGCCGTCTCATGTAAGAGACACCACCCCAGTGTAGATTCCAGCCAAGCCCTGCAGGTAGATATATTTATCATTGCAAACAGAAAATTCCTGATAAGCTCTGACTTTAAAATGTGTGCATTTTCAGTTTTAACTCATGTTGAGATATGTGCCCATGTTCAAATAATCTATATATGCCAGCACAAGAGCCCCCGTGAACATCTCCCCTGTGCTTACACAGTGCTGGAGCCTGATACTTTGATCTGTATGCTCACTAGGAGATGTACATGGTCTAGAACCCTTGTGTTTTAAATTGGAGACAGAGACTTACCGTCTTATCCAAGGTTGCACAGCTACTTGAGGCAAGCAAAGATTTCAGGCCAGGTCTGAAGTTGTGAAGTTTGGGATAAAAGGGCTGAATGCTGCCGGGGACAGAGAGGAGACGCTGGCACTGTTGCAGGGCATTTCCAAAGATGGTTCTAGGGAGTGTGCCGCACAGCTCTGCCAATGCACTGGAGTGGGCAGGCATTTCCTCCTACACCCACGTTGTCCCCACAGCCCTCATCTGCCAGCTCCAGGGGGCCCAGCATTGCATAGCAGCACCCCCCAGGAAACCCAAGTCTTAAGGATAGGATTGGACACCTAAGCTCTGGGGGGTGAGATGCCACTTAAGTGTGCCCAGTCCAGGATGCCCGATCCTACCAGTTCTCCCTTCTCTGACTGGGACTCAACTCAGCTAGTGGGGTAAAGGCCAGGCATGCTTTGGGGCAGCATATGGAGGAACAGGTTGAAATCTGAGGGACAAAGGATGCTGGGACCAGGGCAGGCATTAAGAGATAGTTAAGAATGGTGCCCTGAGCAGCAAGGCGGGAACTGGAATAAACAGGACCTTGAGGGCCATGGCAGAGCTGTGGCGATGTCACTGGGCACAGGAGGCAGGAAGGACTTGAGGAGGGCTGGTGAATCTGTCATTGCAGCAGGGGTGACCACAAGGTCCCACCTACAGATGTCCTTTCTCAGCGTCTCAGAGCTGGACACTTTCCTCTGTTGGTTCTCTGGAAGCCTCTCCCTTGCCGTTTGCTTGGGCTTGACTGTGACTTGGAGGCTGTGGTTCAATAGCTTGTGTCTTTTCACAAACTTCCTCTGGGCCTTAGGTTCCCCTTCTGGTGGTGCTGAGCTGACTCACTTCTAGACTGTACTCAAGCTCCTATTGGCAGTTGCCTCCTTGGGTAGTCATGCCCATCGGTAAGGGGTGGGGAGGGCTCTGCCCTTTTCTCCTGGGTCCATAGACCCAAAAACCATATCTGAGAGCCTATGAGATACCCTATCGTGAACATTGCTCTTCTGCATGTCAGGATTTCTTGTGCCACAATATCAAGGGTTAGTTCAACTTCTTGACAGTTCTTCAAGGAATTCTGTCTGCACCTCTAAAGGATGGGCTCGGAAACTGGGTCCGCGCCCCTTGCTTCTTCCTTCCCCCTCTGTCTTTTTTGTCTGTTTCTTGAGAGTCACTCTGTAGCCCGGCTGGCTGCTGCCTCATCCTCCCACATTCTCCCCCAAGCAGTGAGCTCATAAGGAATTAAGCTCAGGCAGTGAGAAGCTGGGCAAGAGGGGAACCCCTTACTGCTTCCCGCATGGGCTTCTAGCTCAGCATTCAGGCTGCAGTCACTGAGCAAGGTTGGAACCCACAGAGCCTGGCTGTGCAGCCTGGGTCTCTTGTCAATGACCTTGGGCCGATCTTTGACATAAAAACAGGATAACCCGGGCTAGTCCTGTCTGGCTCTTTGCACACTGTGGAGCCTGTGTGTTGATGGATTCCAGCCAGGTGCCTTTGGTGTCCCTTTGGCCACCATTTCTCCTGCCTCTGGAGTGGTTTCTCCTGGCCCTTGGCAGTCATTCCAGTCATTCCATACGACATTTTTGTATATCCCATTATGGCTCTTTGTTTTTTCTTACAATGTGGTCGATAGACAGCCAAGACTACATCACCTGGTCTCTTCCATAGGGATCTAAGACCAGGAAGAATGTCTGTACTCGCCTCCCTCTGTTATCTTTGTGTGTATGTGGCGTGTGTGTGTGTGTGTGTGTGTGTGTGTGTGCCTGTTTGTGAGCACCTGCATCTGTGTGTGTACATGTGGAAGTCAGAGGTTGATGTTGGGTGTCCTCCTCTATTGTCCTCCACCTTACTTTGGGTGTGTGGCATACACGTGTGTGTATGTGTGCGTGCATGTGTGTGAGCACATATGCGTGAGCACCTGTATTAATTATAAACTGTCTGGCCTATTAGCCTAGGCTTATTATTAACTAGCTCTTAGAACTTAATTTAATTTAACCCATTTCTATTCTATATTTTGCCATGAGACTTGTAACTTGCTGCCTCCTATCTTGCTTCCCCAGTGGCTGCTGGCATCTCTCTGACTCTGCCTTCTTTCTCCTGTCTTTTTGCTTGGGTTTCCCACCTAGCTATATTCTTCTTGGCTATTGGCTTACAGAAGGGTGTTCCATATCCCCAGAGTCTGATGTTGGGTGTCCTCCTCTATCACTTTGCATCTCACTTTGGGAGTGTGGAGTATATACACGTGTATGTGTGTGTGCACGCGCACACATGCACACATGCCTGTGTGTACCATCTTAGCAGCCAGAGGAGAACTTTGCCCCGTTCATCACATTTCACCTTATTGTTTTGAGCTAGGGTCTCTGACTGAACCTAGAGCTAGGCTGGTGGCTAGTGACCCTTAGAGACCCTCCTGTATTCACTCCTACAGCACTGGGGAGACAGGCCATACCCTGCCTTTCATGAGCCTGCTAGAGTCCACGTTCAAACTTGCACACCATTGAACCACAAAGCCAGGACCGAACTGGCTGTCACCAAGAACTCCCTCTTATCTTTTGCCGTGAGAACCTCCAGTCACACTCACTTTGTAGCAATTACAGGAGTTTTGTTATGTCGGGTTTTGCTTTGGAAGGGGGAGGCGTACTCCTAGGTGAGTAAGTTCAAATGCTGCTCACGGCCCATTTCTCTCTGGCTAACCCTCAGAATTGGGGGTCCTAAGCGATTACAGCAGACACTAGCAGCTCTGCTCCAGGAAGAGACAGGGTTCTGAGGCCAGATGTTGGGCTGTGCTCTGTCTCGCAGCCCACTGTGCTGAGTATGCTGGAGCCTCTGCCGAGTCAAGAACCCAGTGGACTTTGACTCAGCATTTTCCAGCCATGTGCTAGCTTCGAGAATGTTCCCTTTCTCATAAAACCATTTAATATTCTTCAGCATTCGTGCTCCACAAACACCCTGGAAACCCTCACGGAAATGTTTTGTTTCAGTGAGAACTGCCCAGCTTCAGTGTAGGTGGTCAGGGGAGAAATCTATAATTTGAAAATCAAGAGTTTTGTTTGGCCCCGTTTGCTGGCCTCAGACTGGGGGAATGAAGGGCCCTCTGCCCCTGAGAAGGAGAGGCCACTGCTGAGCAGAGCCCTCTCACTGCAATGGTGACTCACATGGTAGCATGGAGTGGGCTAAGGGGTTCCCTCGCCTCCTGATGACCCATGAGTCAGGCACGCTCAGGCCACCTGTTCTGTCCCGATTAAGAGTGGGATAGCTAAACCATCTGTGCTCGGATGAGGGGACGCTGGTAAACAAGCCAGGACCACCACAAGGCTCACGAGACAGCCTTGGGCTTGAGGACCTTCTGGAAATAGACAAATGTGATCAGGTGCCTGGGAGAACACTGATTTTATTAAGAAAGAGAAATAGGCGTCTGGATGGAAAGAGATCACGGTGGCGGAGGCTGCGGTTCCTCTGAGTCTTTGCTCTTTAATCCTGAATTTCCTACTGGCACCATATTTCTCTCCTGCAAAGAGAACTATTTGAATATCTGGACACACACACAGCTCTCTCAGGCACACATAACTCACACGCGCGCGCGCACACACACACACACACTTTCTCACACACAGTCTCATATGCACACACTCTTATATACAACTCTTCTCTCACACACAACTCTGTCTCACACATACACAACGCTCTCACATCTACACGTTCTTTCTCACATACATTCCCTCCCTCCCTGTCCCCCACCACAGGCACTCCGGCACACTGCACACCTCACAACAGTGATGCGATGGAGAATGTGATTTGTCAGCTCTGTCTTACGTCGTTGGCTTCTGGGTCCTTCAAAGACTGTTGTTTTTTGTGTTTTCCAGATGGGCAGCAGGTTTGGGAGATGGAAGCCACGGTGGATAAAGACAAGAGCCAGCCTGTAAGCCCCCAAAATGGCCCCGAGAGCTCAGAGTCCCTGCTGAGGTTTCTGTACCCTGCTCCCCCTTCCCCCATCCTCTTCCCCTTCCCTCCTTCCTCTTCCCTATTCCTCCCTTCCTTCCTCCCTCTTTCCCTTTCTTCTCTTCTTCCTTTCCTTCTTTTTCTTTTCTCCCTCTCCCCTTTCTATCCTTCCCTCCTCCATCTGTCCCTCCCTCATCCCTCCCTCCCCTCTCCCTCCCTCCCTCCCTCCCTCCCTCTCTTCCTCCCTCCCTCCCTCCCTCCCTCTCTTCCTCCCTCCCTCCCTCCTCTCCACACTGAACATCACAGTTATTCACAAGTACAAGCTACACTTAATAAGGAGTGCTTGCCACTTACGAAGCCCCAGGCCCTTTGGTTTCTGACCGTGACATCTGACACACTTTGCTAGACCAGCTTTCCTTGCTGGGATGAAAAGTTAAATTCCCTTCGCTGTAGATGTGGGGAACGAAGCCAGAGGGCCTGCCGTGGTTGGGCCTGGGTGGACTTGATTGGGATCCTGGCAGGAATAGTGGCGTGCTGTTTACAGTCAAGTTCATGACAACTGCTTCCTTCTAGAACATGCTTTTTGTTGAGATCCCCGAGTATCGGAACAAGCATATCCGAGTACCCGTAAAAGTGAACTTCTACGTCATCAATGGAAAGAGAAAACGAAGTCAGCCACAACACTTTACCTACCATCCAGGTGAGGCATTCTCCCTGACACCCTTCAAGGTCACAGACAGCACTGGCCGGGGACTCAGGAGTCCCAAGGTCTGCTCCTGGCTGGGCTACCTGGGGAAAGTGACTCACCCACTCTGAACCTCAGCTTCCTCTTGTGTTGTAAGGCACTTCCCTGTGAGAGTAGCTCTCTGTGTGGCCCACTGGTGCCAGGGGCCAGCTGCCCTTGTCATGCGTGTTTTCCTTGGTGGTAGGTACGGGCATTTGGAGGCAGACAGCTAAGCAAGTGTCTCTTGCTGTTCCTCCCTGTCTTAGGTTTGACCACATTCAGGGTCAAAGTGGACTTGCTCTAGAACTCTCAGGGTCTTGACTGTCCCCGTATGGGTGGGATTACTAGAGGCACACCCAGACCAGAAGGTCTCATTCATGAAATTCTGCAGAAATGGAACTAACCTCATAGAGTGGCTCTAGTTACAACTCCAAGGTAGCCAGTAGGTTAGGTAACTACAGCAGTAGTTAACTAGTAACTACAGCAGCTGGGGAAAAGCCCGCTCCTGTCCCACTCCAGGCCAGGGAAGGACCCTTGGGCTGTAAACCTGCAGTCCTGGTTCTGAAACCCCACTGTCCCTGATTGGGCAGCTCAGCTTCAGCAGGGTGCATGGTAGACTTGTGAGATCCCTATGAGGGAGGCAACACGGGGACGGATGTGCCCTGCCGTCAGCAGCAGAAGTGGCTTCCCGTGGGCCCCAAAGCTGCAGAGAGAGAGAACCTCGCACAAACCCTGCACGTGGAGCAGTCCTCTCAGCAAGAAGGCTGTCGCCTCTGCGCTCTGACGTTCTCCCCCGATCTGCGGTAGCAGGGCCTCCCTGGGCTGGGCGTCAGTGCTCGGCTGGTGGAATGGAACCCTAGCAAGGCCCACCCTAAGGTCTCTAGCTATCTAGAACTGAGACATTGGCCTTTGCATGGCATTTGTGGACATAGTCGCCTCCTCAAACCCTGACTCCGAGGAGGCTGCCCCACTCACCCTTGGTGACAATCCTCTTGTCCGTTCATGTAGCTGTTCCTCCCTCCTGAACCTGGTGATGCTAAGGGAGGATGCGGGGAGGGGGCGGCCTGCTTTCCTCCTTGCTGTGAACAATACCCGACAAACACAACTTAAGGGGTGAAGGTTTTATTCTGACATTTAGAGGGGTACTGCCTTTCATGGTGGGGACAGCAGGAGAGGGAAGCTGCTGGTTGCACTGCGTCACAGTCAGAAAACAGAGATGGAGACTCTTCAGTCTAGGAGCACAGCCCACAGGATGCTGCTGCCCTCATTCAGGGTGGGTCTTCACATGCACCCCATGGAGAAACTCCTTTATAGACATACCAGAGGAGTGTCTCCTAGGTGACTCTAGACTCTGTCGACAGTGACGACTGAACATCGCTGACTATGTTGGACAGTGTCCAGTAGGAGGGGACACTGCAGGGAGACCATGGGAACAGATGGCTCGAGAGGCGGGGGAGTCACCGCAAGCCTTTTCCTCTCAGCTCACACCTTGAGGAACGAGGCTACACAGACTCCAACACCCAGTCGAGCCCACCCTCCACCCATCCACAGCTGGCAAAGTCAGCAGTTCAAGGGCATTGCCAAGGTCGAGTTTCACCTGATGACAATTCCAGGGGGGATCTTGTGGCCCAAGGCTAGTGAGCCACACACCAGCCATGCTCCCACCCACTTGGCTCCTCAAAGTGCCCCTCCTCCTCGGCACACACTCACAGGTCGCCATGATTGCTGCAGCCCTGCGCTTTTCTTTCCACAGCCCCTGCCATCAAGACGGAGCCCGATGAGTATGACCCTTCTCTGATCTGCAGCCCTGCCCATGGAAGCCTGGGGAGCCAGCCGTATTACCCACAGCACCCAATGCTGGCCGAGTCCCCCTCCTGTCTCGTGGCTACCATGGCCCCCTGCCAACAGTTCCGCTCGGGGCTGTCATCCCCCGATGCTCGCTACCAGCAGCAGAGCCCCGCGGCAGCTCTCTACCAGAGGAGCAAGAGCCTGAGTCCAGGCCTGCTGGGCTACCAGCAGCCGGCCCTCCTGGCAGCACCCTTGGGCCTGGCCGATGCCCACCGCTCTGTGCTGGTGCATGCTGGTTCTCAGGGCCAGAGCCAGGGCTCTACCCTGCCACACACATCCTCGGCTACCCAGCAGGCCTCGCCCGTGATTCACTACTCACCCACCAACCAGCAGCTTCGTGGTGGGGGGCACCAGGAGTTTCAGCATATCATGTACTGTGAGAACTTCGGCCCTGGTTCAGCCAGGCCTGGCCCACCTCCCATCAACCAAGGCCAGAGGCTGAGCCCAGGCTCCTACCCCACGGTCATCCAACCACAGACTGCCCTGAACCACAGAGCTACCAAAAACGGACCCCCAGTCAGTGACCAGAAGGACGCTATGCCCACTGGAGTGACAGTCAAACAGGAACAGAACCTGGACCAGACCTACCTGGATGACGGTAAGAAGCTGTGCTTGCTCAGTGTCCCTGAGGAAGGAGCCCTCCATGTCCCCATCCTGGACCCCCCCCCCATACAGCCCAGTCTACCCTGCTACCTCCTTGGGCCTTAGTATCTCCATTTTAACCTGAGGGGATGCCATAAGATAACCTGTGTTGTCACACATGTATAAGCTCACCGCGGGAGCTTGGGGTGAGTGCTGGCAGCCATAGAAAAAGCCAATGAAGGGAGTTCTGGCCACTGGAGTGTCCCCTCAGGTCATGAACTGGGCCTGTCCCGCCACTTCCATACTCTTTCCGGGGCCAGATTTAGATGAACGGCAGGAAAGCAGAAAGGAAGATCTCTTTCTTTCCCGTGGAGGAAAAAATCCCATTTTATGGCCCTCTTCTGTGCGTGGGGGCGGGGTGCAGAGTGAGCAGGGAGCACAGCCTTGAAAGGGGCTCTATCCGGAGCATGAATGGGGGCTGCGGGCAGCTCTGGCACATGTTGCTGGGACACAGAGACCATTGATGGGGGGCAGCAATGGGTTTCCGTTGGGGCGAGATCAGCTGATGGGGGGCAGGGCCAGGGAGAGGGTGGAAGAAGGCTTTGTGTGAAGGTGCCCCCAGCTTGTGGGCACATGGCCTGGACAGAGGCATGGCTTGTCAGAGCAGCTGAGACGGGGGTTAGTCGGCCTCTCAGAGGAAGGCCACACTCACCTGAGATGAGCAAAGGGTGCCCGAGGGCAGAGAGGGTGGGGCAGGCGGAGGAGCCTTCTCTTCCCTTTGAGGCTCCAGAAAATCAGAAATCTCGGAGGGAGGTTTCTGAAATGGAGGAAGAAACTCTAGGTGGCGAGTTGCTCCCTGCCTGCAACTCCAGCTCCAATTCATGGGCAGTAGCAGCTGATACAGGGTGGAGGGTCCCGCACCCAGAACATCCAGGAACAAGAGTGGTTTGGATTTGGCGACACCCTGTAATGCTGCGTCACCATTCCGGCCTCCCTAACTCCCAAATCTGCAATCTGGAGAAATTGAGAGTTTGAAATTTTCTGGGAATCATTTTGATCCTCAAGTTTGGAATTTCAGAGCATTTTGGATTTTTAGATTAGAAATGTCCAAGCAACTCCTGAAAGCACAATAACTTGGGACCGTTAACTCCCAGGAACCCAACAGGGAGCAAGGAAGGATGCCCTAGAACAGTTGCCGTGTTTACCATGGAGACCTGTGGGTTATAGGACATTATGCTGCGTTTGCTCAGTCTTTGAATTCTTGTTCAGCCAGGCTACCTGGGTGTTCTGAGACTTCCGAACAGCATCTATCTTTGTGATGGAACTATCAGCCAAAGTCAGACCTCTTTGAGCAACGACCTTTTGGGACACTTACTAAAGCGTGGCCCCGCGTGCCCGGGCAGACCGACCCAATAGCAATGCTGTGTGAACTGATGGGGCTTGGGAGTCGAGTGCAGTGGTGAGGGACTTCTGTACGCTCTACCTGTGAATATTAGACATCCCAGTGAGAGCCAGTCTTGCTGCTTGATTCAAAGAGGGCTGTTGGCAAAGAGAACTCAACAGAGCTGCAGCTCCCACCATCCTCAGTGTGTACTTGGCCTCACTTCATGTGGAGGCAGGGGACTGACCCCATTGAGGCAAGGTGCTTTAGGGATGAGTGTCTGAACAGGGTGGGTGTTTCCCAGCAGCCTCTGTGGAGGGGTTAATTTGGTCTCTGGGAGCAGAGATGTGCCCCCCCCCATCATCTTGCGTTAAAGATGAATGCGAGTCACCTCAGTTATGGAACCTGCAGGTAGATGCCTCAGTGGGTCAGAGGTGGCCATCTGTGTCTGCCACAGATGCGCAGAAGGGATGACTCGTGCCACAGAGGAAGCAGCTGGGTTTAGGTGCCCTATGCGGAATCTATAGGAAGGCTCACAGGTGTGTTGGGGTGAGCTCCCCTCCCCCAACATGATTCTGCTCTCAGAGAGATTTGGGCACAGATGGCTCCCACTGCAGGAAGCTTTTCTTCAGTACCCCTTCACCACGCTTGTGACCCCCTCCCATCTCCAATCTCGGTGGGGAATCCTCTGTAGGAAGGTTCTGTGGTTTTAGAAGGTGAAAAGGTTAGGGTGTTGTGGGACTTCTCAGAGCCTTGACTGTCCTGGTTGACATTAGAAAAAAATCTGGAAGACCAGGAGGTGCCCTTTGAGGGGAGCCATTCCCACGGTCTCTGTCCTCTGTCTGCCCACAGCCCTCGAGGTGTGGCCCACAGCATGTCTGGTCCTGCAGCCCAGCGCTGGTCCCTCAAACACTATATTCAGATTTCTCCATCTATACTTTGTCTCCCTAGGCCTGAGTCATGTGTCCCCAAGGCAGCAAGGTGTCTTTGGCCAGTTTGGTGCTTGGCTTGCTTTGTTCCCAAAGTTCTGCTTGGTGTGGCCTGCCATGCTCTGGGGCAAACTCAGAAAATGTGGGCGCCGTTTGGCTTTTGTTTGCTAGGGCTTTGGATTCTCCTGAGAGACCTGGCCCTGCACCCAGAACCTTGTGTACATTCCTCTGTGGTGTGGGATTCTTGATCTGTTGTTTGGGGTTTAAAGCAGACAGACAGACTCAAGACATGCTTCCATCTCCTGGAGGGTGACTGGGTTTGGGCTCCTTTCGGTTGTCATTCAAAGGGGTCTCACTCCCTGAAGCCAGAGCTAGTGAGCCCAGAATGAGCAGGACACAGTAGACATGAGTCTCTGCACAGAGGCAAACATTGACCTTGGAAGTTTGCCCAGCCTCTCCCCTGGGTCCAAGGAGCGCCACAGCCACACCCCAGTGTCTCCAAACTTGGCCCATGACCAAGTGTCCTGCCTTGTGCCCCTCTTCTGAGCTGCATTCCTGCATGTTCTTCATTGTTTGGGCTGTTCCTTCTTGTGCTGAGAGCTCATCTGCTCTTCCCACTCTGGTACTTAAAGATGCTTACAAAAGTCTCCTCAAAATGGGAAATGTGTAACATTCTGGGTGCAGTGGGTCCCCTTCACCCGCCCTTGACATGTCATCTGTCAACGCTGACCTGCTTTGTCCTGGGTCATGGATCTACTCTCTCCCCCTAGAGCCCTAGATTGTGCCTGGGCAGTTCAGGCTGCACATGGCAGCTGGTCCAGTAACTGAGTCCCTCCCCCATCCCTTCTCCACCCTCTCCAGCTCCCTGTCCTACCACTTCGTCCTCCGCAGTGGTCCTTGGCCTCTGATCTCCCACTGTTCATGCCCAGACCTCCAAATATTTTCTGACTGCTGCCTGAACCAGGCCCTGTCCTGGGCTTTATGTGTGTGGAGGGGTAAGAAAGCCTTGTCTTGAAGCGTTTTTGTTATGTTCGGGGAAAGATGCAGTGTGGATGCCAGTGTCTAGGGGGTTGAATGATGATGAGGGACGTCACACAGGTAGGAGCTGGCGGGCAGCAGAGAGGTGAGCACTGCCGTGGGAAGGTCTGAAGGGAGAGCATTTCGGGGTGGGGGGATTGGGAACAGCAGGTGAAGGTGACCTGGAAGTCAGTGCAGCAGGTGGTGGTGGGGGTTTTCTGCAGCAGTGATCTGGATATCTTTGGAGAAGGTGGCTCTGGCTGCCTTTGGGAAACAGATGTGAGGGGGGCAAGAGTCAAGTTCACGTGCCGTTTCCAGGACAACCAAAAGTTTATAGTCACCTCCCTTATCTTTGGATTTTTGTTCTTCAGTTCAGTTTCTTACGCTCAACTCCAGTCCAAAATATTAAGTGGAAAATTCTGAAAAGAAATAGTTTTTACACAATTTTTCCTATAATGATTCTTTTACTGACATTGACCTGGCTGATAAGTGTTTTCATGGGTTTGCACATTTCGATAACGCCAAGTATATTCATAGGGCCCAACAAGGTCTGTAGTCTGAGAACCTCAGAGTGTGGCCCTGGGGTGCACATTCATTTTAGACACAGCTGACGCTGGAGAAGGTGAATCCCCAGCAGGAAGGAGATGGAGCCGAGGTGAGCATCTTTCCCCAAGTTGGGTTGTTCGAGATGCGTCTAGAAGTGCCAAAATAGGACAAGAGTGTAGGTCACCTCCACCACTTCCTTAGTGTGAATGCAGGGTGGCTGTGGTTCCGTGCCTGGATGCAGACCCTTGGGAGCAATGCCTGGGAAGCAGTGACTGTCACCTGTGACCCTCACCATTGATGACGCCTCCTGGGAGCCATGGTGATGCCACAGCTGAACTGTGGTTTGAGGGTCATCAGGCCAGTTCACCACCAAGTCTACCACAGGCCTTGGGGGCATGGGCATGCCCTTGGGTCTTAGCCACAGGAAGGAGACTGTGGGTGCAGAAGGACCAGGGCCCAAATCTGCAGGCATCCTTGCTGTCTTTCTCCCTCCTGGGGGAGAGAGAGGATGTGGTCTTGTGCTGGCCAGAGCCTGGAGGTGACCTGCGGGGACAGCCTAGCTTGTGCATGCATATGACCAAGCATCTGTGGGTGTTGAAAATGATGTTTTGAAAGCTGTTTGGCTCTTGTTCTTCATAGGAAATGCATGAGCAGTAGACATTGGGTGAAAACTGAGTATTTTCCACTGTATTTAAATATTGAACTATATTAACACCCACCCCAAATTAATAGTGTAGTGCTACAAATGGGCCACCCCAAAATGGCAGCCTGGATCTTCATGGCAAGTACATTATCCACTGAGCCATCTGCCAGCACCCTGTAGACCATGCTGGGCCCCCCGTCTCCCAGGCCACACCTAAAGTAATCTTGTGTGTTTATGTAATATATGATTCTATTTCCCTCAAATACAGCTGTAGCTATAGCTTACTTCTCTATGGAAAAGCACATTCCCCAAAAAGCAAGTTTGTGGCTCAAGACTAGGAACTGACCAGCAGTTAGCCGAATCTTCCTTCTGTACTCTCTCCGCTCTTCCTTCTCCACCAGTAAATTCATATTGGGTAGCTGGTGGAGTTTTGTTTTCCCAGGGGCTTGGCCCCCACCCTGTGCCTCTTTTGTGAAGAAGTTGTATCTTTTTTTTCTCCCATCCCATTGAGTGCTGTTTGGATTTGGTCCTTGGGCTTTGCCCTCTACCGTTCTGTTGGACTTGCTTCTTGCCCGGGATGCACTGGACTTGATTTTAGCACCTGGAGAAGGGCTTGGGTCTTGGGGAATGATTAAACCATCAACTTGGCTCTTTCCCGTGGGGTTTTTTGACACCTCTTTAATTTTTTATTGATCTGGGGATCCAGTCACATTGAGACCGTTTATAAAGCCGGGCCTGCTTTGCTGATCAACACTGCCTGCTCTGTGTCTCTGGGCGAAGTGGAAGATGCTCAGGGTTGGGCGTGAGGGTTGTCTGCTCTGGTGCTTACGAACAAAGCCTGTTGGGCTTGGACTGATGTCTGTTTTACCTTCTGTACTGCTCTGAAACTAGATCTCTGGGCAGGTGAGCCAGAGCAGGTAGCCCCTGGGTCACATTGCATCCAGTGTGGGGCACCTAGCTTGGGTCTGTGGCAGAACTGTTGGGTACAGGCCCTTTGGACTAACAAATGAGTTTCTTCTGTGGCCCCTTGATTCTGCTGTCCCAGAAAAGCTGGAAGGACACTCCTTGGCTGCTGGTTTTCCAAAAGCCTGGAGAAAGTGGAGGTTCTGTTGCATAAACTAAGGATGGCGGAGTGCCTGTGAGATTCCAGCAGCCGGGGTGCACAGATTTCTGGGAGTTGATGGCATCTTTTGAATTCGCAGCTTTATTGGGCACCGACAAATGAGCTGATCCCAAACTGATTCAATAGTTCCCTCTGTGTCTTCCTACACATGTGTTGAATTGTCAGCTCTCAGATGTGGGAAAGGGGTGGCCCGCTGATATTCCCTGGGTGCAGTTAGCCTGAAAATTTTGCTTGGCCCACCCACACAGTGTTTTGGTTTTTTTTTTTTTTTTTTTAGTATTTAGATTAGATGTCAGCGTTAAAGAAGTGGGGCATTGTTTTGGCCCCCCTTCCCTCACAGCTGTCAGAAGTCAAAGGCAAGGAAGACCCAGGCATGGTAGTGTCGTGTAGAAGCAGCCACTTGCCCAATCCACAGGCCCACCGTTTGCCTCCTGCATCTGAGCTACTTAGCAGCACAGCATCTGCTGGCTGTCCTGTGCTGACTGGTTTTGGTCACATTCCTGTGGGGACCCATAGGCATGTAATTTCAGGGGCATCATTGACCCCTGTGGCTGCCTAAGGCAGCGCCTGCACAGGTGGGGATCTTGGAAGTCCTCACTGCCTCTGTCAGTCTGCTGCCTTCCTCCTTAGGGCTGAGGGACCTTCAGGAAATCTGTGTGTGCGTGTGAGCGTTCTTGTGTCTGTGAGGTCGGAGGGCAAGTCTTTTTCTCTTACATTTTTTGAGTCAGGGTCTCTCGCTGAACCTGGAGATCACTGACCTGGCTGGCTGGCTGGCAACCCCCAGGGGTCCACCTCTCTTCCTAGGACTGGGATTATTAGTATATGCCAGCACGTCCAGACTTTACATGGGTTCCTGGTCCGCTTGCTTGTGCAGCAGGAATTTACGCCGAGCTGCCTCCCAGCCCACCTTGTTCACTGTTAAGATTTTATCATGCGTTTGCACTAGAATTAGCTCGAGAGAGTGACCGCCTTTGTTCTAAGTTTCTTACCCCACACTGCTCCATTGCTCCTCTATTGAGCCCCAAATGTTTCACAAGGAGGGGCCTATCACAGAGTTTAGTCAACCATTTTTACTGCAAGAAACATGAACGTGGTGGTTTGTCCTATGTGGAATTTCTCCTGGCCCAGCTTCTTTCTGCTTCTGTTGTTCTGGTGGGGGAGGTTCAGCTCGGTTCTCTGCCTCTAGTAGTAGTTTATGGTAGCATGACAGTTGAGAGGTGTGAAAGGCGACCTCCCAGGAGGTGGTGTGTCCTCACTGGGAGGGGTGTGATTTCAGGTGACCTGTCCCTGGCAGTTAGTAGTGCTTGCTAGGGAATGCTTCCCCCAACAAGTCCCCTGGTAGACTATCAGCGCTGGGTGACACTCTGTTCCCAAGCAGCCAACCCTTCCTCTTCGGTAAGCTGGAAAAGGGCTGGAAAGGGAAGCTTCCCCATGCCCACAATGGAAGAATTCAGAGAGACCGGCAAGCTAGATGAATGCCCCGATTTTTCTCCATTATTTACCACTTTAAAAAGAATAGGTTGGTTTATTAACATCCTTCCCTGGTATCAATTGGAGTTGTGTGTGCGTGTGTGACTAATTTAGAGCCATTATGAACTCATGGCCTTAACATAATTGATGTTTTAAGGTTTGAATGGCCGATTTGAGCAGGTCCTTTTGTCCCTGCCATCGGCTGGGTCTAAATAAGGACTTCCTACCCTGTCTTGTTCTGCTTAGCAATGTGCCTGAGGCATCAGGCAGGAAAGAGTCCTATGTGTAGACTGAGGCTTGCGTGTTTTATCAACTATATGAACAAAAAAGAACCAAAATTACATACTACCTATTGATACTCCTTGAGAGCAAATTTAAACCGGGGTGCCTCTGACCTTTGACCCCTCTGATTGTTTGGAGAAGGCTGGCTGGCTATAACCCCTCAGTCTTGACTCTCTAAAAGAGCCAGGAGATGTGGCTCAGTTGGCAGAGTGCAGGCAGACTCTGGGTTTCATCTCAGCACCACATGGCGATGGGGTGTGCCTGTCATCCCAGCACTGGTGAGGTAGAGGCAGGAGGATCAGGAGATCAGCATCAACATTGGCTTACAGAGGGAGTCTGAGGCTAGCCTGGCCTTCCTGACCTAGTCTCTAAAACTTAAGGACTTTAAAAAAAATTCCCCACTTTTAACATTGTCCTTTCTAAAAGTGAGAAAATTTTAATCACATAAAATGCAGGGCTCACAATTTCAGTTGTTCTGTAAATGCTCCTTATAGATAATAACATTTATAATACATAGCTATATACTCAAGGATATGTATTTTGCATATTATATGTTACATTGCAGTGTGTGTGATGTACATTCATCATGGGTCAAGCAGAGCACAGACTCTGGCCAGCTTGGTGTCTGGTCACTTTCTACGTAGTCCCGCCCTGCCCCTGTCTGTGACGTCTCATGCTCTGTAAGAGGTGGCTGTGCTATATAGTCTTCCAGGGTCTGGGTTTTACCCCTAACAGCAGGGACGGTGTGTGGCATTTCTATCAGTGATGGCGTTCAGAGTGGCAGCTCCTGGGCTTCAGGTAAGCGTTGTGCCTGAACTCGGCATGTCTTCTTAAACACACCCTTCACTCCACCAGAGAGATGGCTCCCCGAATTCCATGCTCGTCACTTCCTTTTGTTTCTGATCAGTTATCTGACCTGAAAGACGTGCAGGGCCCCACTCGGTGCTGCAGGATCGACACTGTTGGGCCTCAGTCTGTGCTTTTATAACCGACCAGGCGTTCTGAGTTCACCAAGCCTAAGGGCCAATGAAGGGCCCTTTCTCCCCTGACATCATTAAGTCACCTTCTAGCATAGGAGCCCCTCCCATCACCCTGCACAATTCTACTTAGGGTTGGCGTCCAGGGCCACGGTTTTCTGAGTTACTCACTCATAGTCCCATCTGCTAAGATGTCCATTCTTCCCCATGGGCCTGTCATTGGCTTCTTCACAGCAGACAGGGCTCTCCTGGGGCCTTGTCCCTGTGCTGACTTGTTAGACCTCTTGTGGGTCCTGGAACCAGCTGGCTCTCTTCTGTCTTCTGCTGTGTCGTCTTCTTCTCCATTGAGCCAGCTCTCCGGCCCCCAGAACTCCCCTGAGTTTTAGGTCAACCTTAGATCATGGACTCTTTAACACACTTAAGGAAAAGAACTTGCCCAGCAGAGGAATGGCATGGCCCGAAGCTCAGGGCACCATCCTCTGCCTTATGACCAGGACACATCCAAGGAGGACAGCCCTGAACATCAATACCAGAGATTTTCCCATCTGCCCTCCACAGTCACCTGTACAATCTGTCTCTCCCACACAGTCCCTGTACTGCTAGGGGCTGCCTTCCAGAGGCTGTTTCTAGCCATATGCCCAGGGTCTCGCTCTGACCCATCCAGAGCCAGGTATCTGTGACACTGGTTCCTGCTAACATGTCTCGTATGGGACAAAGTAGGGTGACATATCCAATCCTGGGACCTGCACAAGACCCGCATGCCACGCTTCTCTAGATACTCCAGAGGTGAGCTTGACTGGCCAGCCATCTCAGTGGCATCTCCTGTGCACCCTGACACACAGCCCTGCTCCTCTTTAGGCCCCTGACAGAGCTCTGGGTTATTGAAAACACTACCCAGGGTGCCTGGTGGGTGTGGGTGGCTGGGGTCAGAGGGTGCCGGAGTTGGGTCCTACAGCACCATCCTGTGTTGCTTGATTCTTGCAGATGTGAATCTTCTAGGGCACAGTTGAAGGCAGACAGCTCCTTCACCACCTTAGGGTGCAAACTACTCCGCCCGCCCCCACCCAGCAACATGCCATTGCCTGGCTAGCACCTCTGCCTCACTTGAAATCGGAGGCTCAGAACTTCTGGGTTTACTCATCCTGAGAGCTGGGGACAGTTTGGAGCAGGGCACTTTTCTCAGAAGACCTGAGGCCTTGTATGTCTGGCGGCTGGCTGCTGCTGGGGCTAGCTTCCCGAGGTCTCTGGTTTGCAGCAGGGGGTGACTCAGAATTCTATTCCACACGTGGTCAGCCTGAGGCAGCTGGTACTCTGTGGGGGCAGGATGTGATTTGTACTTCTTCCCCTCCCCCTCCAAAGGAAGAGGACCTGTGTGAGATGGATGTAGACTGAGAGCCGCCATCTTCTGCCCGGGTTGCCATGTTGTGGGTAAGGAGGCTGCATCGCTGATGCCTCCAAAGCCTGAAGTTAGGAATGACTGTTGTCTTTATAGAGATGGCATGGGATGAGCCTATGAAAGGACACCGCAGATTTGGACAACAGCAGTCTGGCTGTGAACAGTCAGGCCGTGATGCCTGTCCTGAATTACAAGCCCCTTCCTTCGAGTGTAATGGCTGAGTAGGATGGAGAGCTATGGAGTGAGGCTGCTAACTGGAGAGACCTGGAAACCCATAAAGATGCCAGGGACAGAGGAAGGGGAAGATGGGCAAGGATGCACACAGGCAATGTGGAGGTGATAGCAGCTCTTTGAGAGCCTTGTCACAGGCTAGCCCTGTGGTCCTGGACGAGGCAGTCCCTTAACCTTGATGCCTGCCTCAAGGACTTTATGATGCTTGACTCAGGACATTATGGAGAAATGAGTTGGTCAAAACAGGCCTCTTGAGACTGTAGCGTCAGGCAGGCTGGGTAACAAGATCATAGGCATCCATCTCTTTACAGTCCTGGGGGCTGAATGCCCAAGATGAGGGGACCAGTGTAGACAGCTCTGTGCCGGGCTCTGCTGAGTTTACAGTTAAACCTTTCTGCTGCATCTGTAAGAGAGACATACAGACCACCCCTGGGCTCTTGGGAAGGCATTGTTCCCTCATGTCAACCTCATCTTGTATTTAGTGAGGTTTGGCACAGAACCTAGGGTCTTGTGCATGCTAGGGATGCTCTCGATCCCTTAGTTTCATCCCTAGACCATAGGCCCCATCTTCAAATGCCCTCACACAGGGGCTAACAGCTCACAGTACAAACTTGGGGGGGTCAGAGAGAATTCAGTCCCCAGCAAGTAGCCATGAGGAAGGCTGGACAGAGTGGACAAGGGCACGCCATACTGGTCACTCCAGGCAACCACTGGGCCAACAACTCCCATTAGAGGAGACTTAAGATGGGGTCTAGGCCTCACTTGGGTCCTGCGGGGCTTCTTTCCAAACAGGTAACGAATCTGAAGTGTAGGAGGGAGGCACGTGTGCCTGGGGCCATCTGGGGAAAGGGCAGACTAAGTGCCCAGAACACAGGAGCAGTTGTTCTAGCAGGGAGTGCAGCATAGCCGCGCCTGTGCACAGGAGGTGGGCTTGCCTCGGCACTTGAAGTCTATGGATACCTGTGCAGGGCACCCTGTGTTGGGGACTCGACTGTGAGCAGGTGGTGGCACTTGTGGCAGCGCATAGAAGATTCTAGAAGGTGAGTTTATGAGAGGAGCAGAAACTACCCAGTCACTTGGTATATGATGGTAAGGTCTCTTGAAGTCCAGTCAGGAGTTGGGGATCTCACCCTCAGTGAGGGGAGACTCTGACCTGTGATAAGCATGGGGACTGTGGGAGAAGCTTTGCTTGCTGCTGTGGTTTGCACCTGCTCCTCCGGCGGGAGGGCTAAGCTGCCCTCCCCTGGCCTCCGTCCCACCTGGCAGGCACACACAATCTCAGAAGTTGCCAAGTAGCCTTTGCCTAAGCCTTTCAAGCCACTGAGATGCACGGTTTCCCAAACAATTAGTTGTTTCATCTCATTTGCGGTCACGGCTGCTCTGTGGGTTTGGATGGTTGCTTCCTGAACTCCGGTTCACAGAATCTTGCATCAGCCTTGATGTTAAGGCTTGCTTTATGGCCCGTCTTCCTGAAGAGCCTGGGGTGGGCCACAGTGAGCATGCGGAAGGGAGAGGAAGTTGGCACGTGGCTCCGTTCAGAGCCTTTCTGCTAGGCTTGCTGCTGAGACAGCTGTGTGGTCATTTGATTGACAGGAGAGGCGTTGCTCAGGAGACTTTCTGCTGAGCTGAGGGAGCAGAAGCCGGCTGCAGGGTGAACTCAGCCTAGGTCTTGATTTTACAGAGACGCTACACTTCCTGGCATTTCTTCCTGGGCTTCAAGTCCATGTGCAAGCATCCAGATGTGGGGTGTGCTGGTGTCCTGGGAGCAGGCTCTCTCCTGGCCTACTGGAACCTTAGAGCCATCAGACTGAACAGGCCCCTTGACCTGCCTCTGCTTCCCTTTGGCTTCACAACTCACAAACACACATACCTTTCTAACATGTGCTGGGCCTTCTAGCCACGTGTGCCTGTGGCTCCAGGAGTCAGGAAGCCGGCCAGAGGGCAGATCCTTGACTCGGGCAACTTCTCGTGTGTTTATTGTAATCACTGTAGCTTAAGCAAATCACTTCTTGACTGTTGAATCACAGTGCTCATGGCAGAAGAGTAGTGTGTCCTGTTTTGTCTTCCTGTAGCCTTGTAGGAGACCCCCAGAGGGGGCACTGAGTCTCGGACCAATGGCTTTGGAGCATGAGGAGGATGCCTCTTAATGTCCATCTTCATATTCCCAGAGCCCTCACAGGGCTCCATATGGCCTACTTCCTGTGTAACTCGCAGGGAGACAGGATAGTAGTCCTAGTTACCAGAGGGTTCTAGAGACGATAGGTAGCATTGCTGAGCTCAGCTCATGCCACAGCGGTGGCAGATGAGACCATGCAAGAATTTGACTGTCACCGTGCTTTCATTCCAGAAGCTTCCAGAAGCAGTTAGCATCCTTGCTCAGTGCATCCTGAAGGTCTTTCAGATTTGGAAAACCCTAAATGGGAGTCCGTGGGGCTGGCTCCTGACAGGCTCCCCAGGTCAGGAGATGGGTGCTGGGTGAAAGGGTTTCCAGCCCCAGGAAGGCAAGGTTGGTGCAAACTCCAAAGGGGCTCCTTAAGGAACCAGAGCTAGTACATCACTACCAGAGAAAGGTTAGTGGGGACTATAGGGCTTGGGTCATGGCAGGGACAACCCCTCTCTTGCCCTCAATAGTTTGGCCTGAGAACAGCAATTCCATTAAACCTGGAGCCTTTGCGAGGCTGCGGTTGGGGCTGCCTGCACTTCACCAGCACAGGGGGATATGGTAAGAGGTTGGAATCACGGACCCAAGTCGAGCTGTATGTCTCAGACTGAGAGAGGCCCTGCCTCTGGCTTCCACCAAGAGCAGTGAGAAACCTCATCACTAACAGGAAGAGGTGCAGCACCTCAACTCACACAGTGAGGGGTACTGCCTTTTTGAGGTGCAGACTCCCCTGGCTTTGGTACCAGCTTTGCAGTTCATGGAGGTAGGGCAGGCAGGAACTCTGACCATAGCACTAAGCAGTTTGGTAACACTACCATCCCCTGTGGGCTGCTTAGCTTGGTGTTATGGGGACACACTGAAACCCTTAGCCACGTGGTATTTCTGAGCTCTTTTTCTAGGAGCAACAAGTGGAGGAGGGGAAATCACCCCGCTGGCAGGCAGGAACCTAAGCTGGAGGCTGAGGCTGTGGAAGGGCAGTTAGTCCCTCTTCCAGGACAGATGCAGAAGCTTTTGAGTAGACAGGGGCCATAAGCTGTGAGAAGGTGTCAGCATTGCTGGGGATAGTCATCTGCATTTCTCACAGTGGGAACAAGCTGGTGCTGGCATTGCAAACCCTGGGTTTCGCACCACATATACTGACCTGTTGGTACGTGCCTGTAATCTCATCGTATGCAGATCAGAAGTTCAAGGCCATCCTTAGCTATGCGACGCTGTCTCAAAAGAAAAAAACAGTAAATGGAACTAGAAACAGTATACTGGGAATGAGGGGAATTGGGGCTTTTGGGTCTGGGAGACAGAGGGTGCAGAAACGAGTTTGGGCCGTGTAAAGTTTGAGCATTATAGTAGACATCCTAACTAGCCATTCAGGGGTGCTGGCCAGAGGTAAAACTCCTAACATGGCCATTGTCGAGGGTGTTAATGTCTTTAACACCGGAAGGAAAGGCCTGATAACACTTGCTCTGGATTTTGGAGGAGCTATCAAAATGTACACACGAAAGGCCAGACAGGGCCTCATACTCCCTGAACACTGGAGAGCAGCCCTCTGTGTCTCTAGAGAGACTAGGAAAGACAGGGTTCCCACGTCTCCTACTGTCTCTGTGAGAACAGATGGACAACGTGGGCCGTGTAGTCCCAGGTCAGCCTTGGACCCATCCAGCCCTAGTGGGAAGTTCCAGCATGGCTTGTAGTGCTGAAAAGAAGCCCCTCCTCTCGGATGAGGCTCCAGGGGTTCCTGGCTCTCCTTGAGAGTGGATTCAAGTTCTGCATTCCCCCCCCCCCCAATCTAACAGAAACCTCAGAGACACACAGTTGTTTGCATCAAAGGAAGCTCAGGCCTTCGTGTACCCTCCAGAGGGGACAGGGAAGACAGGACTCTGAAAGCTTGAGCGGCAAGAAACTGATCCAAGTGGAAGAGAAAAGACAATAGATGGGTTAAAAACAACGGCAGGTCTCCTTCTCTGAGAACAAAGGGCACCTTCATTGCCCTGAGGGGCAAGAGGCTTTGAAGAGAATTAACTTCAGGGAAACTCTTTAGGAAAGCTTGGAAACCCTGAGGTGCTACATCACAGTAGGTGGGTCCCTCCTGGGATTCCTTTTCTGTAGGCTCGACTGGTGAGAGGCCTTCGAATTGCTTAGAGACAGGCACAGTTCCTCGTTTTTTGCTGATGCGTTTTTTTTTTGCCTCAGAGACTACCCCTGCTTTGTATAAAGTCCCTCATCTCAGTGGTACTGACCCCAGTTGTTGGGTTCATTCAGGCCAGGAAGTTAACACAGAATGGCCAGAAACTCTCGTCTAAGGGTGAAGTTCTGTCCTGGGTTGTGTAGCTAGGAACAAATTTGAAGTATGATAGAGTTCAAAGGTAATTTTTCCTTTTCTTCTCAAAAATGGTTTTGCACGTCTTTTTCAGAACTGATAGACACACACCTTAGCTGGATACAAAACATATTATGAGACCGAGTGACTGGTCTTTGATCCGAGAAATCAAAGCGAAAGGTAACGGATTCTTCTACTTCTCCCTGGGGTCACCAGCTATGTTTGCTTACCTCAAATTTATGGTTAAGTCAGAGAGAAAGCACCAACCGCAAGGCTCTCTGCTCGCTGGCCAACTGTCCTTGCGGATCCCACTCCTGACAGTGCCAAGACTCTCAGTCTGAGATGGGGGTGGATGCAGGGGTTTGCATGCTGTTCTGGGGACCCTGCACCCTACAGGAATGGGGGTTCTGTATTGAGTAGAAGCTCTAGGAAGCTGATTGAGCAGGAGTGTGTGTGTGGTCTTCTCTAGTACACAAATGACCTTGCTTGGCTTCCTGTCTGCCTAGACTTGACTGACTTTGACCTCTGGGGCTGCACAGAAGGATCAGCTGGCTGAACCAGACTGGTTGGGGCAAGCTTGTCTCTGACAATATAGTCCCGAGGGTAAAGGAGGAAGTGACGACTCTCCTGTGCCCTTCCCACGTGATCAGCCTGACTTTGTGGCTAAGCCCTCTGGGACAGCGATTAAGTTGGCACTGCTGGGGTGCTGGGCCATGGCTGGCTCCCCACTTCTTTTTGTCAGAGGAAGCAGCTCCTTTACCTCCCCGGCAAGGTCCAGATGCCCTTGGCAGAGTCACACTAAAAATCCCAGTTAAAATTCAGTGTGTAAAAGCCATGCCTGCAGGTGTACCAATGAGCTGGCAGTTCATACCCTTGTCCCCCACTTTCCCGAAGGCAAGGGATAAAGGCGCCCCGATACTACAATGCACCCTTCCTGGGAAGGCCAGGTACTCATTTCACAACAACAGGATTCAGACTTCGCTGAGGTCAGGGGCATTCACTGTACCAGCCACCCCCTGCTGAGCTTCATCCACAGCCCAGGAATCAGGCTGATAAAAACAGGTGTTTTCTGTGGAGAGCGAAGTCACTTACAAGGCCCAGGGTGCACGGTGCTTCTTGGGCCTGGAAACTTGGGAGATGCCCCAACTCTCAGCTTCCCTCTGACCCCAACACTGACCTGGCCCTCGACCAATTGAGGGATTTTGTCCTTTCCCACTGGGCCCGGATAGATAGCCTGGCTATGTTCTAGAGTGTGCTCTAATGGTCTTAGGTGTCCAGAGCCCAGGAAGGGGACAGAGAAAAGATGCAAGGTACGTTTCTCCAGAAAGTAAACCCCATGATGACATCCTCAGGTAGCATCTGAGCTGTGAGTGACAGGAAAGGCCCAGTCCTTCAAGCCCAGTGCTGGACCTTGACTCTAGAGGACACTCCCCCGGGATCTTCTCCTACATCAGCAGAAGTGATGTCCTCCTGACTGGGCACAGCAGAAGAGCCAGGGTAGGGGTGCTCCAGGCCTGTCCTGACTGCAGAAGGGGCTCTCTGGCTACAGTTTGGCTGGATGGTAGAAAACAGTTGAGGTTTGGAAGAGAAGCAGTGAGGCCTCTCTGTTCCTTCCTGCAGTTGCCATTCTGGAGTAAGCAGCTAAGGTGGGGGTGGCTTAGGAAGAGCCCCTGAGAGTCCCTTCTTTAACAAATCCCTTGACAAGTCGGTTTTAGCTACTAGAATATTACCACTAAACCAACCCAGACTAGTTTATAAGTAATACTAGTTGAGGCTCTGACTTCCCCAAATAAGTAGGCAAAGAAAACACCCTACTCTTTTACCTGACACTGGCAAACTATGGTGGTGAGGCTTGATCTGGCCCCCATCCTGTTTTGTCAATAAAGTTTTATTGAGACATATTGATGTTGATTTGCCTATAGGCATCTCAAGAGTGGAGAAAGGCCCTAACACCCACAAATTTGAAAGTAGTATCTAGTCCTTTACCAAAAGGGCCTGTTGGTCCCTGGCATGGCCCTTTCAATATTGTCTGTTGCCATTTTTTATTGCTTCATAGTATTAGAGCTGTATTACCTCTGTATATGAATGGTTATCTCTGCTATAATTTTGATGCCTTTTAAACCTATCCATCTTCTCTTTCCTGGTGGCAGCCTTGGGTCACACTGTAGTTAGAGACACGTTCATTCTTAGCCCTGTCTTTAATGGGGTTAGCAGCACTGTGACGGGCTGTCCCTCACCCATCCTTTTCTTAGAATATGGTGCTTTTGGTGGACCACCTGGCTCAAATCTGCCCACTAAACTCAGAAGCTAACTGGCCTTTTCCTGCACAAAATACAGCGAGGATTCTGGGTCTCCAGAAACAAAAGGGGGTGAATGCTACACCTCACAGAACAATTTCTTGACCAGCGTGTAGGCTGCAGATTTAATAAGCTGATAGAGTGGGCCGGGTTCACATCTAAATCTAAACCCCATTGCCTGCTGCAGCAAGGGACCTCCAGGCTCTACAGTGCCTGTCCACAGCGTAGCCATGTTCCTAGTGCTGAGGTAGGAATTAAATAGTCCTGCCATGCTCAGAAAATCTGAATGGTTCATCGTCTTGTAGATGAAATTTCTCAGCCAGTACTAGCCATATGGTCCTACGCACAGCGCAATCTGTGAGACTTACGGATCCAACACTGACTTCTAGGGGGTATGTGAAGGAAGGAATAGGTACTGTTGGAACAAAAACTGACAAGAAGTTAGATTTGGAAGTGGGTTGGGCCTGTGTGGAGGCGCATGGACCAAGGTGGGAAGATAAGCTGGCAGAGGAAGGAGAAATACAGAGGAATTATGGGATGGACAAAAGGGGGGAGCAGACTCAGAACTCTGGGTCACCCTTGGGAGCCCTACCCAAGTCTGACATGGAGCCTGAAGTGTCTAGCCTTTTCGATCTGTGTCATGTCATTGCTGGGTATTTCCTGTGTCTGGGGTACAGGATGCAACAGCAGTAGCAAGTTGCCAGGAAGGGAGGGTACAGAAGAGCCTATGTCCAAGTTGTGGCTGGCATGGGCAGAAGAGGCAGGGATGGCCTCAGCCTGGCGGGGGACACAGAGGATTAGAGGTTTGCTGGTGGCATGAACGGGAAGGTAGCAGCGGGAACTACGCATGCTTAGAGAGTGGTGGGCAGTGAGGTGGCTCAAAGGGACAGATGGCGAGGTCCTCGAGGGGAACTCCGGAAAGCAGGTGAGGGATTGGCCCAGAGCAGGAGCTTGGGGTATAGGAGAATTAAATCAAGATGAAAGAGAGAGAAAGATGGACAGGAAAGGAACAAGACAGTGATGGGGCTGAGCAGGACTCTCCTTTCTAATGGGGGAAGATAAAGGGCAGATAATCACAATGGGCCTTGTGGACTCCCTTCAAAGGGTAGCAGGCTGTCCCCTACCCTAGTGGCCTGCAAGGGGACACCTGGATGGAGAGACTGAGCAGAGCCCCTCAGAACTCGGAGCCCAAGTTTTATCCTGACATAGAACGATGCAATTGCCATCATCTGGTTGGTGTATATTCTAGAACTTTCTCCCCTGCAGCCAGGGCTACATAGGATTTCAGAAAGAAAAGCCACTACCACGTCTAGAGGTTGCTAGACGTGATAGCCACCACTATGTAAGTCTACAACTTACTGAAATGGGAACCACTGTCTGAAGTTAGTAGGAAACACGGCGCCTCTCCCTGGCTGTTGAGAGGTCGGTCAGCCTCCCAGGCCTGCACTGCTCAGAGGGCGCTGACCCTATATGAGGGCCCGTGGTGCACAAAGCAATATCTATTAGCTATTCTCAGCATACCTGGGCTATGGGAAGGTCCACGAGGAGTTGACTGTTCTTACCCCGGAGGCTGAGCAAACAAGGAAGGCCGTTAGGATCCCGCTGCATTTAGCTTCCATTCCATCCCCAGAGGGCTGGCAGCTCCCTGGGCCCTGGCAGTGCTGCGTCAGCAGAGCCGGAGTTGGCATCCTTCCTTGAGCTTCCTGTTTTAGGCCCCAGTGAATGAGCTGGTACCAGAACACCGAATACAGTACCTGCACATGCGTTCCCAGCCAGCTGATTGTAGGAGTCCAGCCCCTGGGGTCCCATTAACAGAGCTATTCACCATCTCATAAGTGTTCGTTACGATGGTCTCCCAAGGCTCATTCTTGAACATACCCGACATCTAGCGCTGTGTTCTGCAGGCCCACACATCTTCTATCCAGGGCACTGTGGTCACTGATTGCTGATGTACCCATGCTCACAGCACCAGGAAGCAGTAACATTTTTGGACCCAGTTTATAGGTTGAGAAACTGAGGCACAGAGCAGTTCAGTCAGTAAAGCCAGGCTCATGATCAAGTCACAGCAGAAGTGGTATTCCGACCCCCACTGACTCCAGCACACATGAGGAACACTGAACTGAGCCCCACCTTCTCATGCAAAGCACTGTGGGTACACCAGCGTGCTCCCGACTGTGACCACTGACAGCGCTGACCGCCGTACACCAGGCTTGGTGATGTCATCCACTCCACGGTTGACATTCCCACAGCAGATTTTAGAAGTCCACTCACAGTGGTACACACCTATGATCCCAACACTCTGAGACAGAGGCGGGAGGATTGCCTGTCGGTTCGGGGCCAGCCTTGGCTACGTCATGAGTGCCTAGACTATATGTCAAGACCCCATCCCAAACATATTTTGTTTTAAGCGAAAACAAGCAGTGAGACGGCTCAGCGGGTAGAGGCACTTGGTGCCCAGCCCCATGACCTGAATTGTCTTTGAGACCCACATGGTGGGAGAGGACAGACTTCTACAGGTTGCACTCTGACCTATTTACACACCATGACAAATCCTCACCCCCAATACACATGCTGAATGTATAAGAGAAGACAGAATGATCCTAAAGGGACGCGCTGCTGTGACTTCCACGCTAGAGACTCAGAGACAAACCTGGATTAGCCCATTCTTTTTAAAACTGTACCTATGTCCACCCCTGTTGACATGGGGGTCACAGACTCACCTAGGCAGGGGCCTCCTAGGACAGAGCACCTCAGACTGCAGAACCTGGAATGAGGAAGATCTCCACAGCTTCTCTGCCCTCCACGCCGTTTCGATCTCTAACGCTCAGGAAACAGCGCAGATGAGAAACTGAGCAGGGTGTGGGGGGGAAATCTTCTTTCCATCCTGGGGTTGGCTGATAAATGTTGCCGAAGATGTGCACTTAGTTTGGGGACAGTCTCTGCAGCCTCCCGTGTGTGCTGGTGATGCCAAGGGAAACCCATGACCAGATCTTCCGTGCTAGGATCTCACACCCTATCCCAGTAACTCACACCTCAAATGAGCTGCCCAGTTGGCACAGGCCAAAGAGCTCCATGCCAGGGGCTGGCACTATGCCCACAGTTCCTATTGGAACCACATATGTACAGGGAAGGTGACTGGCTTCCAAGCCCCTCAAGGACCCCCTCCACTTCTGGAGCCTTGAAACAAAGTCCTTGAGTGGTGGCAGACCTCTCACTGTGCGGAGGAAGGAAGGAAGGAAGGAAGGAAGGAAGGAAGGAAGGAAGGAAGGAAGGAAGGAAGGAAGGAAGGAGTTTTGACTGGGCAGTGGTGGCACACACCTTTAACTAGTACTTGGGAGGCAGAAGCAGGTGGATCTCTGTGAATTTGAGGCCAGTCAAGGCTACACAAAGAAACCCTGTCTCTAAAAACCAAGAAAAAGAAAAGAAAAAGAAATTTTATGCAAGTGGACAGCCAGTTAGCTATGACTGTGGAACCCACCCCCACCTCACTCTGCCCCCACCACCCCGGCTGTCTTTTTAAGGGCCCCTGAGTTTGGGATTTTGCTTTTTGGTCCAATGTGACAGGATCACATACTTGGTGCTTTGAGGACAAGGCAGGCACAGAAGCAGTTTGGTCGACACATGGTGACTTAAGGACCTGAGCTAAAGGACAGAAAGGGGACAGTGGGACACACTACCATGTGAGCAGCCAGCTGGTGGGGGGGGGGCTTGGGTAGGCGCAGTGATATAGGTAAGATGGCTAACACAGGAAGTGGCATCTAACTGGGTGCCTGGTTGGGGTGACACCTCACGTGTTTGTTTTATTCTGTCTCCCCCTTTCTAGTTAATGAAATCATCAGGAAGGAGTTTTCAGGACCTGCCCCCCGAAATCAGACCTAGAACAGCCATTATCGCAAGACGCCTTCCATCTGGGACCCCTTCTGTCTCCCCCTGTCTTCTCTGACTGGAACACTGTGTGTGGGCACAGCAAAGGCTGTTGGTGTAGGAGCCTGCTGCCTCTCAACGCTTAGCTGAGCTGTTGTCCATGGTGACTGGATGAAAAAGCCACTGCCTGCTGACCAAAGCCCCGTTCTCAACTCACCAGGAAGCTGAATTTGCCAGAGACCCGGAAGCTGGCCTCGGGGAGAGAGCTGGGGAACTTCGATAGAGCCCCAGCCCACGGACATGGCTCCTCTCTCTCTTGAAGGGTGTTTAGACAGAGCAACCAAAAGAACGTGGCCCAAGAGCCCAACTTTTGGGCTCAAGAACCCCAGGTCTCTGTAGGAGCCAAAACCGGAGCGTCTCATCTCTGCCCCAGCTGGGCCATAGCAGGGCTTTGTTTGTTTTCAGTCTTTTTCCGAAGCCAAACTGCCTTGCCCTGACAGGACCACCTGTTCCAACTCCCGGCCTTAAGTTATAACCCATGTACGTTGTTTGCCAGCTTCTGGGCCTTTGTTTTGTTTTTCTCTGCTTCAAAGAGCCAACCAAGGAGTCCGCAGGCTGGGCCCTCTCAGCCAGCTACTCCCTAACCCTGCTGCCTGCACCAGACCTCTGGTGGGATCCAGCTCGGGCTGCCTGTTGAGAACAAAGCTTCCAAAGGCTCCTCTCCACCCTCCTCCCAGACAGAGCCTCCTCCTCCCCGGAGCTGGAAGAACCTTCTGGGTCCTTGCATTGACTGTTACAGAGCTGAAGCCACCTAACCCAATCAAAACCTGCAGGTGTTTGTCATGATTGCCACCAAACAGAACGACGGGGCTGAAATCTCCCCCTACCCTAAACTCAAAAGCCGGAGCGCGCTGGCATAGCCCCATTATTCTGTTTCTTACCTGGATGCACATAACATCACTGTGGAATCCGAGATGCTGCCATGTGAGCTGCATGCGTAACTCAGACCCCAGCATGTGCCTTCGTGTGATCAAGGCTGGCTAGTGTGTCCTATGGTGTCCTCTGCTCTCACGCCACAGGTCTCCACAGTCTTCCTCCCCTGGTGCAATTTTTTTTTTTTGCTTTCATTTTTTTGTTCTTCCTTCCAACAGAGCCGTTTGTCTTCACCACAGATGCCCCTGTACATATTGGGCAGGCATGTCAATGACTTTCTTGGCTCTGTCTGCTAGGTAGAGGGCCCGAATAGCAAGCCACAGTGGCTAAATACCCATCGTGGGTTTCTTAAACTCTGGCTTTGCCAAGGCCGTCCAAGGGTAAATCTTGGGAGCTGAGCCAGCTACAGCTAGCTCTCCAGACAGAGACCCATACCCAGGGCTCAGCTTGAGCATGAAAGTGTGACTTCTTGGCTAATGTAGCCTTTCCCCTAGCAGCAACGCCGGGCTCCCTCCACCCACCCCAAGCATACACCGGAGCAGAATTCTCTTTTGAACCCAGAATGTCTACAAGCAGTTGGGCACTAAGCCTCTGGTCCGAGGCACTTCCTGAACAAAGGAAGCCTCTGTGAAGCAATACCCACTTCTCTGGGGAAGGGTGACAAGGGCTTAGAGATCAGTTCTCACTTGCCCTGGCTGGGAGCCACTTTTTGCACATGAGGAATTGGGCCTTTCCTCGGATTATCTCAATGTTTTACCCAAGTGCCTTCCTGCAATTGTAGTGAGCAGTTCAGCTGCATTGTGTATGGTGTGAGAAAGGGCTAACTCGCTTCCTCATCTTCTAACCAAGTCAGCAAGAGGGCTTCCCGTAGTTCAGACTCCCGTACCTCTGTGTGTGTGTGTGTGTGTGTGTGCAAGAGGGCTTCCCGTAGTTCAGACTCCTGTACCTGTGTGTGTGTGTGTGCAAGAGGGCTTCCCGTAGTTCAGACTCCCGTACGTGTGTGTGTGTGCAAGAGGGCTTCCCGTAGTTCAGACTCCTGTACCTGTGTGTGTGTGTGCGCATGTGTGCAAGAGGGCTTCCCGTAGTTCAGACTCCTGTACCTGTGAATGTATGTGCACATGTGTGCAAGAGGGCTTCCCGTAGTTCAGACTCCTGTACCTGTGTGTGTGTGTGCGCATGTGTGCAAGAGGGCTTCCCATAGTTCAAACTCCTATACCTGTGTGTGTGTATGTGTGCAAGAGGGCTTTCCTTAGTTCAGACTCCTGTGCCTCTGTGTATGTGTGTGTGTGTGTGTGTGCATGCCCTTTCCCCTAGACTACCTTAGCTGAGTAGTCTAAGAAACCTTCTCATACACAAGTAGATCAGGAAGCCAGGAGAGAAAGTAGCATTTGTTCCCAGACACGCCAGAGAAAGTATACGAGCAGCAGACAGCTATCAAGGAGGTTTGGTCAGTCGCAGATATAGAAGGAAACTTGGCTAGTAGTGATGGCTTATACACCATTCTCAGAGTGGGAAGATGTAGTCTGATCTAAGTCCGTGAGGGTGGGTGTGTTGTATGTGAGTCTGAAGGGTCGAAGCAGAAATGTGTCCTTGTGAAATCCGCGGTGACGTTAGTGTGGCACTCGGACGGGTTTGTCTTGCTGAATGTGGTACTTAACTCTTGGAAGTCCGCACATCTGCCTGATTGTACAAAGACAGCTGCTGGGGAGTTTATATATCCACCCAGATTAGGATGGTATTAAACTTTATTTTCTTACCTGGACTTTGGCGCTTTTTAATCTGCCCTCAAAATATCTCATCCCTGTTGGAGTTAGAACATATTTATAAATGGTCAGATGTCTTCTTAAGTTTTTTTTAAACATATATATCTTGATTTTCTGTAAGAGAAATGGTATATTCTTGAATTGTTTTCTCATTCCAGAAAAACAAATCCAAAGGCATGGCTTGGGTCCCCATCAGGACCTCGGGATAGGAGAGAGGGAACTGGGACGAAAGAGCATCTTTTTCTTGCTTGAGAAAGATACCGACTCCTTCAACCTCAAGCCTGGGTTGTCCCTGAGAATTGTACGCAAAGGGTTTAGTTGGTAGTTTTGATTTAAAGCCACCGAATCCTGTCTTCTCATGGACTGACAAGATCCTAAAGACAGGCTGATGCTGTCAGAACCAACCGTGTGGAGTCCTCACAGGAGACCCCACGTGCGGCATCCAAAGGACAGCCACCTTTTGTCCAGCACATCACAGCCATGGACAAAGTGAGCTAGTTCCTCCCAAGACCTGGGATAGCTCGCTCACGTCCAGTGGTCTGGTCATCTGTTGCATCACCATCAACCCTCAGCCAGCAGTGGCACACAGAGAGGTTGGAAGCAATGTGCTTTCATTGTCACTCAGAACCAAAGAGAGACTGCATTGACAGACTATCGGGGAGCTGCTATGTTCGTTAGGCACTCCGGAAAAGACACAGGGGTGGCCAGGCCAGGCATTCCTGAACTCTGCGGGAAGGGCAGCCTTGAGGAACCTGACACACCTTTGGCCATCAAGCTTCATGGACCCAAACCAGCCAGAGCGAGAGCTCCTCCTGCAGTCCTGCCCGCTGCTAAAATGAGGCGACATCACCTTCACTGTTGACCGACTCACCCGTGCCTTGACATACAGCAGCCATCCTCGTCTTAACCCGGTTCGTTTACACCTAACTCCAGTGTTGGGCAAGAGCAGTGCTTCCCTGAGCTGCCTCTCTGGGATCACAGAGGGGTCCTGGCAGTCAAAGGGTTAATGCTGTCTCTAGGCAGTCCCTGGGGCAGATGGGAATAAAGTTCCCGCCCTTTCAGGTTTTGGATGGACTGGGTGCTGATGGTGCTGTTGCTGTGTGACTAGGAGCCACAGCATTCTGGTTGGCCAGAGCACACTGTGGGAGCATCCCAGCCATCCTATCAGAGAAGCCCCTGCTCCCCTGTCACCTCTCAGCCCTCACAGGGAGTCTCACCATCCTAGAGGTTGCCCCGGTGATGCCTGAGGACCAGGGTTTGGGAAAAATCCCGACTGTCTTGAGGAGTCAGACTATATCACATTCCTATGCAAAATAATTTTAATCTCCAGTTTCATGTAGTTTATTTTTGCTATATGTAAAGTATTTTTATACGGCTTGTATGATGACAGCTTAGCAATAAAACAGTTGAGAGCAACTTTTCCCTGGCTGTGTCTGCTTCTCTGGGAGGCAGGGTTGCAGCAGCCTCAGAAGTGGGGTTCAGATAGCAAGGGAGTTTTCATGTGTGCACAAAGAATATCATCTCAAGAGGAACCTGCTGTCCACTTACCCAAAGTGACAGAGCCACAAGGTCAACTCAGATCTGCCCCATCCTCTCTACCCAAGTCTCTGTCATCTTCCGGGGGTCACAGCAGGAACAGACTTATGAGTCAGCCTTAGGCTAACTTCCAGGAAGTCCTAGAGCATCTGAAGTCATTTGGGGGCTTTCTGTTTGAGCATCTTGCAAATTACCAGAGAAGAGAGGAGGGGCATTTTAAACCTGAAAACAAATATTCCAGAAAGTTTTAGGACTTTCTATCTGCCTTCCTGGTCAGAATAGCTTTTCCCCTTTCAGAGTTAAAGGGTTCCAGGGATGTGGAAGGATTTGCTATTTCTTAAGTCTTGATATTAAACATCTTCTACCCTTGAGAGCTTTGCTCTAAAGTCCTAGGCCCTGTACCTCTCCACTCGACCATTTTCTGCTCCTGGAATGTTCTAGACTCCACCCCTGCTCCTTTCAATGCCAGCAACCAGCAGGACCACTTGGACAGGTGTCCCAAGGCCTGACAGGAGCTTGCATGGGTCCTTGTGGCTGCAAATACATACACCCTGCCTGAAAGGCCACAGGGCCCTCTGGTGGCTTGGATCAGAAGCCCAAAAGAGTCCCACAGTCCAGAGGGTCCAGATTCCAGAAGTATCCAAGTATCCATGGCTCCACATAGCTAGTGTGGATTCCATTTTTGTATGTAGGACCCTGTGAGGCAGGGCCTACACAATGCCACTTAAATGCACTCTTGGGAATGGCTCGTGTGACTTGAATGGGTAGGAAACCCCCCACCTCCACATCACACAGCCAGTACCCACCCAGCACCACATGCCGCAAGCGGGCTCTACCCTTTATGGTGTTTACTGAAACCATGGGCAACTGGCTTTCCTTTGCTCACTTCTGAAGCCCTTCTGTGCCTTTCCTGAAGGGCAGCAGCAGCCAAAGACGAGGATAAGACTATCCTCCCATTCTAAGTAGACCTGCCTTCTGCATCACTGAGTGAAAAGGTAGAGCATAGCCAGAGGTAGGAACGTCTGGGAGAGTCCAGAGTGAGCATGATCCTGAGCCTTAGGGACTGAGGAGAAGGCAGAGCCAGAGCAAGAGGCCAGGACTGTAAAGAGTAGACCAAAAAAAGAGCCAGATAACCAAAATGGATGGATTATATGGGGGAAGGGCAGCTCAGCCCCTGGGCTGGAGTTTAGGGTACAAGTGGGAACTGAAGGATACTGGGAGAACACGGTGGCCAAGCCCTCCCAGCTCGATATGTTAAATAGATACCTCAACTAGCCATTTGTCCTGGGTTTGAGACTAATCATGTCCATGCAAACTTCACCCATTCTTCTATTTCTCCTGGTGCAAAATGCTGGCAGTAGTTGGCACCTCCAGGGTGTCAGAAACTTGAGAGAAGCTGGCTCGTATTTTCTGTCAGTTCCCTGTAGCATCAACAGCCCTCAGGCTTCGGTTGAGCCTCGAGCTGCTGCTGGGACCTCATCTACCGTGAGGTCTGGAAATACATGATAGAGGTTTGGGGTTGTTTGGTAACCAGACCATAAGAGCCAGAAATGAGTCTCTCCACTTTTCAAAACTCCCAGAATGTGAAGTACCTGTTGTCACTCAGGTGACTTGCAGCAGCCAGGAGCAGTTTTTCAGCAGGGGGAAGCATAACTCTGGGTTGGTAACAGTGGGGACTTCAGAAGACTTAGGGGAGAAAGTGGGATGGACACCGGCGCAGCCCCTTTGGGCTCATAAACCAGAAGGAAGCACAGAGCCAGGCTTGAGTCTCAGACAGTGAGAAGGCTGGAACCACAGGAATCACTGATAAAGGAAAGTGAAGGCCACAGCCCCGGCGAGGCCAGTGAGGCCGAGGGACCCATAAGCCTCATGACATTTTGTGGTACAGACATGAGTAAGTTAGGACAAAACTTTCTTCCCAGAAGGCCACTCTCTCAGCCCACCTGTCCCCACTTCCTGGTAATGCTCAGAAGTTGAGGTATGTGTACATGCTCCCCCCGCCCCCCAAGACTGCCCTGCCCCAGCCTCTCCAAGAATGCCTTCTTCCTGCCTGTTCTATACTCTGAAATTACAGGTGCATCACGACCACCAGGTGCACTGCCAGGGCCATGCCATCTGGTCCTTAGCCAGATTTCAGGGAGGGACAGTAAACTATAACCTCCATGACAGACTTGCCAAGTTCCCTCGAGCCCCCCCCCCCCCACCCAACAGAGTAAACCCACAAGGGTCTGTCTCATGGCTTTTGCTTCTAATGACACGAGGCCACACAAGGGCAGGTTTCCCAGGACCGCCTTGGACAGGGCTGCACAGCCCCCCTTCCCCGGCTCCAGATGTTAGTACATCTGTGTGGCTTCACGGTGCTAGCCACAAGGCATTTCTAGTTAACATGCCCGAGATTCCCCGTGGATTCCAGACATGCCCAGCCACCATCTCTGCCCCTCGCAGCTTTCCATCCTCACTCTCAGACCACACCATCTCCTGGTTCAGTTTCTGCATTCTTAGTGCCAGAAGTGCTCACCTCCTAATTCCGGAAGCGCTTATAAAAAGACACACACGACTCTTCCTACCTGACTACCAGGTACCACGTGAAGTCCACCATGCTGAGCCCACTGTGCATGGGAACTCCGGGGTCGACTTGTGGGTCCCGGGAGAGAAGGACAATGCTTGCCTTGGCTTCAAGCCCAGCACACAGTAGGACCTTGGGGGATGGGGTGTGTGAATGAGCAGCTGTAACCAGCTTTGGCGTGCACAAGAGGCAGGTCACAACAGGAAAATTAATAACTTCCTAATATTTAACCCATTTTTTCAAAACCAAACAGTGGACTCAAGAGAGGCCTTGTCCCAGCCCCACGGGGCTCAGTATGTTCATTTCTGGTTACACAGTGGTTGTTTTCTGGCAAGAGCCAGCTCCCTTCGCTGCAGAAAGTAATAAGGACGTGACTCCCTCGGGTCCCCAACCTGCCAAGTCGTCATCTGCTCTGGGCAGCCTACAGTTACCTGTGGCCCTCCCGCCTGTAAAGCTCTCTCTGCTGGAGCTCAATGGCGCCTAGGGGACAGGCAAAGGAAGGGCAGGCAACCAGTTGCTGTTTACCAGACAATGTGAAACTGGAACTTCCCCAAGGAGGATGGTCCTTAAGGTGATCAATGGGGCTGCTACCGGGACTCCGCAGCGCCCACTGCAGGCCGCATGAGAACAGGGCACACGGCCTCCCAGGCTCTCCTTTATCCTCCACCTGGGGCTAGGGGTCGCCATGGCCTCTGAGGACCACAGGGTCTTCTGCCTGACTCCAGCCCTTCCTGAGGCCCAACCTACCAAGATTGGGTTGGGACGCACTTTAAGAGCCGAAATGCGCAATCCTGGATGCCATGGCCTCCCATCTCCCAATGTTCACAGCCTCGCCCTGTTTCTTTGCTTTTCATTCTGTTCATAGTGGGCTGTCAAGTTCCCCTTCCTGGCTTCCACGAGTCCTTAGACCCCACTCTCTGCACCTCTCCTCTCCCA